GTAGGCCGAAAGGGCAACTAATGCTATTCTACTAATACATTTCTCAAGATGCGTCATACTCTCCTTGAAGCCTGTACAGATACACCTTTTTCCCCTTTACCATTGCCTCGCTTGCTACATCTTTACGGATTCTCGTGTTAGTGATCTTACCGTAGCAGTCTGCTTGAAGGCGATTCTTCAAGTGTTCAACATCCTATCCTCGGCAGCTGAAGCGCGCCTGCTTTTCCCGGCAAGAGTTGAGATAAAAGGGATCGGAAATGATGGTGAGAGAGGGGGGGAGGGGGGTGGAGGATTCGTCAAGTGGTGTTATCAAGTCGTCCTGTTGCGATGGCAAACCGTATCGTGGCCCGGACTGCTGTCAGATTTGGAGTCCAGGACTTGTCATCTGTCGATGTCTTCCCGCCTAGATAGAAAGATATGTTGCTTCTGTGTGTCTCTGTACATTGCAGCATCTCCGTTCGGAATGCCGTCCATTTGGTGCATCGGAAGAGAAAATGCTCGACTGTCTCCCTCGCTTGCCCGCATGCGCATAGATCGGTCGGAGCGGGGTTGATGCGGTGAAGATAGCTGTTCAGTCTTGCCATGCCGGTCCTGAGTTGGGCCAGCACGCTCGCTTCCTTCCATGAAAGTTCATCGTATAACCGCCTCGTATGCTCGCCCGGTAACGCTATATCGACTCTCTTGGAATGCTTTCCGACCTTTTCTGGTAGGCCTCTGGTGGGGCAGTGATGTGCAGAATCGGCGTCACCCTCCGTGAATGCGGAGTCTGTAAGAACTGAATTGATTATCTCCACTTACTTATAAGCTTTCCCATTTGTAGTTAGGCTGAGCCTCAACCTGACGGGCTTTGCAGCGCGGATATTTGAGTTGCTACACCATGAGAGTCAATAGCCGTAAGCCATCCAGAGAAACACTTTGGTTTCTCCCACGGTAAAGATCGGTCACCAAAGTGTCCATGCCTCGAGATTTTCATAAAGATCGGCTTGTTGAGACCAAACTCCAACGCCAATGCGCCGGGCCGCATATCAAAATGCTGACGGACCATTTCCTCCAGCTCTGCAGAGGGTCTTTTCCCCGTGCCGTAGGTGTCTATCGAAAGGCTGATGGGGCAAGGGTCGTCCGCGCACCAAGCCAGCTGAACACTACAGCGACTTGCAAAACCAGCGGCAACAAGCGACTTTGCAATCCATCTCGAGAGATAAGCTCCGGTGCGATCAACCTAGAATTTATCGTTGAGCATTTTCGTAACATCACTTGTTAGCTGCGCATTCGACCACTTACCTGTCGAAAGTCTTTCCCTGAGAGTGCCCCTCCGCCGTGGCTCCCCCAACCCCCGTAAGTGTCGGCCACAATTTTGCGACCCGTCATCCCCGCGAACTTCCCGGACGGTACGATTCCATAGTCCCCGCAAGGTTGGATCTACACATTAAAGGTCAGCCTGTCGGACATCTATCATCGAAGCACCCTTTACTCGGTATTTTGTCGATCCGTCGATAAGATCCGCCGGGAGGACTCGCCCCAGGATTCTGTCTCGGATTTCTGTCCGCAGAGTGCCTACCGATACGGTTCGATCGTGCTGCAATGTCACTGCGACGTCAGTGATCCGGCGAGGAGTCAAATGGCCGCCCTCGGATTCGTACTCCACAGTGACCTGCGCTTTCGTGTCGGATCGTACCCATGGGAGCTCGCCGGATCGTTTCGCCGCGTCGAGAGCTTTCGTGATGTTATGCGCGAGCAATACCGTTAAGGGGCTAGATCGATCAGCGGTCCGTGGTTTTACGGTCACGGTCACGTTTATATTTACAGTAGAGAAGATGTTTCGTCCGTGGCGTAACCGAAAGTCATTCCCTATCAGTGAAATACGTTAGTCTTTACGGGATAGTAGGTTTGGCGAATATATAGAGAAGCTACTCACCTGATCTCCCGCTGGCACGTCGCGCAAGGACGTCGGTGGCCCCTCTGGAGACAGTAATCTGGAGGGAATACACCTCTCCACACGATCGATCACTTCGCAGGTGTCGCAGTGAATATCCATCGTTAGGTCTATATATCCAATGTCTCGGAGGACCTCTCGAACCGTTTCGACGACGTCAACCCGTTCGACTCTTGCCGTGAGCGTGCCAAATACGAGGACAAATCCGCGTCCCACGGCGACCTCGATGGCAGTTTTGCAAAGAGGATCTTCTTCGAGGCATTTGTCGAGGAGTGCGTCAGAGATCTGGTCACCGATTTTGTCGGGGTGGCCTCTGCCCACGGCCTCCGAGCTGAACTGAAATCGAACGGGCTGAGACATATAGTCTATTAGTTCGCGTTGGGGGCTCTTTTGTGAGGTCGTTCGTGGTGCTCAGTTTTCGCCGCTTATCGTTTGTTGCTTGTTTGGGCCACACTTAAAGAGAGATCTTTATACCGAGCTGAAATACTCTCTGGGCTAGGCACAAGAGGCCATTTCTACCGAAATTGAATTTATCGACGTGCTGTTGTATATAAGGTAATGAATCCACCCCATTAGCTTTACTAAGCACTTGGACAGGATTCCAAGTTTGCGGCCTTATCTATTGAACACACTAATCAACGATCCTCAGCTAAGCTCGATTGGAGCCGATCTGTGATGTGGTGAGCGAGAGATATAATACTGTATACGGAGTAAATTTTTGGCAGCGCATTTTGTTGGTAGAGTTGGATGGTGCAGACTGAGCCCCTCACGCTATGATTAGCTTCCACGGGATCAATTACGAGTAGTCCCTATCCTGAGTCAGTCTTTTAGTCTGAATCCACTAACCATTTAAGTATTTACATATGCCATTGGAGTGACGCCGATTCTGCACATCACTGTAACAATTGTGATGGGATTTCGAACCAATAGTGATGGGTTTCGAACCAAGAGTGATGGGTTTCGAACCAAGAGTGGTGGGTTTCGAACCAAGAGTGGTGGG